GTCCTGTCCAGGGTGTGTGAGAGTGTGTCCGTGTGTGTCCTGTGATGGACTGGTGTCCTGTCCAGGGTAAACCCTGCCTTGCACCCACTGCTTGCTCTTCCGTGACCCTGTACTGGATAAAGTGGTTTGAAAATGGGTGGATGGGATTAAAATCACCTTTGCCTTACAAAACAGGAGGAGTTACTGAACCAAGCTGGACAAATGTTTTCCTAAGCGTCCAATCAACAGTTTTGTTTTGGGAGAGATGTACAGTGCCTTGCCTTGTGTTTACTGTGTTTTCTGTTTTTCAGGTATTGAACCCAAAAAGGAAGAGGAGGATGGGAAGTATGTGCCTGTCAACGTTAGGATGCAGAGAACACAGGTGAGCGGCCCTGCAGCAGGGCCGGCTGTCGCCCCGGTCCACGCTCTTTCAGAGTTGATTGAATTGCCCCGTTCAGGGGAGCCCCAGGTCTGTCCGGGGGTGCCTGTGTGGCAGCAGTCAGATAGCAGTTTGAGCCACCTCAGGCCGGACCAGCTGGGCGCAGGTCTTGGGTGTGTGTGCAGCGTATCGGTCAGGCCCTGCAGTCACCCCTGGGAAGGTGGGGGCCAGCCGCCGTGCTGTGGCTGTTCCCCGGGGGTAGTGACCCCATATCCTCCACGGCCTGCCTTTAAAGGCCCCAAGGCAGACCCTGGGTGGACTGAGACTCCGCACTCGGTCTTGCTGGGAAGGCTGGGCCTCTGTAGAAGGAAGTGATCCAGGTGAGGAGGCAATGCGGCGCTGAGGCCTGCGCTCCAGAGCTCTGTGTCTGGTTAGAAAGTGGAGGAGACGTGCGCTTGGAGTTGACCTGTGTGCCAGAGCCCGTAACACCTGAAGTGCAACAAAGTGCCCTGCAAGATTTTGTCCCGAGCTCCCCCGTCTGTGTTGCTGACCGACGCTCTGTGCCCCCCGCAGCACGGGATCCTGTCGCGGGAGTTTGTGGAGCTGATGGGCAGGTGCAACGCCGTGCAGTCGCAGTACAGGGACCGCAACGTGGAGAGGATCCAGCGCCAGCTGAAGATCAGTGAGTCTGCGCCTCCCGCTCCCGCCGCAGGGCACTGGAGCGAGACACGGCGCGCTCCTGCTCTCCGGGCAGGGCTCTGCGCTCTGTGACGGAGCTGACGGGCTGTGGAAATGGCGTCCTTGTCTTGTGCAGGGAAGGACCCTTTGATCTAGAACAGCGGCTGAGCTGTGTCCTTAGCTGACCTGGAATGGGGTTCCCTCAGTGGTGCCACGGAATTGGTGAGCTGGGCGGGTTTGTCCTTGGCTCTTGTGAACCTTGTGAGAAGCTCTCGCGGGCGGAGCGGTGGCTCTGTGGCTCGGGATCCGCGCCTGTGGCTGGGGGGGTGCCGGCTCAAAACCCGCGGCCGGCAGAGGAATCCTACTCCATTAGGCCCCTGAGCGAGGCCCTTCACCCCAGCTGCTCCAGGGGCGTGTATCAATGGCTGACCCTGCGCTCTGACCCCCAGCTTCTCTCTCCCTGTCTGTGTGTCTCATTTAGAGCAAGCTGGGGTCTGTGTAAAGACAAAGTCCTAATGCAAGAGATTGTATGTGGTGATCTTATCTTATCTGCATCAGGACTCTGATTGATGTCTTGTGCAGCTGTTGGTGCCATGGGGCTCAAAGTAGTAGTAATAATTCCTAACTCTTATATAGCGCTTTTCTGGACACTCCACTCTCTACCTCTTTACAGGTAATGGGGTCTCCCCTCCTGGATGATGCTCCAGTCTGCTCACACACACCAGCTCTCAGTGGGGAGGAGAGCAGAGTGATTTAGCCAGTTCAGAGAGGGGGGTTATTAGGAGGCCATGGTACAATGACAGACTAAAGCGAACAGTGGATTGGGCCAGGTTTTAACTGAGGCTGGGAACAAACAAAGTTAATCCCAGTGGTTTATGCCATAGAAATTAAAACAAATCCTTAAAGAGGACCTGCAGTCAGATTTTTAAGCCTCGGTAACAAAATAAATCCATTGACGGTACAGAAAAAAAATGTACAGATTTCAAGTGAAACACAAAATTGTGAACTTTGTGAAAATACGGTGAGTCGCCATGGTGTCGCACACTCACCTTCGAGTTCCCATGATTTGTCACCTGAAGCAGCCCTTCCTGCTCACTAGTCACTGTAATAACTAATGTAATTTACCAGCAAATTAGTACAGTTTGTGAAGGAGACATTTCACTCCAGAAATGCTCCAACTGCATGCAGAGTTAACAAGCAAGTAGTATTTGTAGGCAAAACAGTCCCAAAGTGGAGAGTAATATTTCTTTTGGATTAAAAGAGTTCTATTCACAAGCCTGCTTGATTACAGTGTCACAGGGCTACACACATCACCAGAAATTTCGTTACTGTGCTCTGAAACACAGAATATGACGCTGCGCATGCAGCACCTGGAAGTTTAATCTATTTTGTGGCGTAAATAGGAGGCAACGCCGATTCTTTCTAACCCCGGGGGTATAAAAAGTAGTGGTGCAGTTCCCCTGCTCTGAAAGGACAGCAAAGTACAGGAAACTGAGGGGGGGGTCTTCTACAGAGCTCGTGGGTGAAGGGTCTTGTCCTAAACCTTTCTTCTGTTGTTTGTGCTCTCCCTGTGCCTCTCCACGCGCTCCAGGCGATCAGTAAGTTTTCCTTTTCTCCATGTCTTTCGTGCGTTTCGACCCAGCGTTCCTGGGTATCCCCTCTCCTGCACATACTGTCCAGCAGAGGGGTCCTTCAGAAAGCCTCGCTCCAGCAGATGAGCTGGGCAGCAGACCTGTTGCAGCAGGACGTGTTTGTGAAAATAGAGTAGAGTAGTCTTTTGACAATAGCGGGATGTAGTGATGTAGTGTAGACATGTACTGTATGCAACGACAGAACAAAATAAAGTGCCGAGGTGCAAGTAAAGACCTGTGTACTGTTAAACACATGTAGACGGCACCGCAAGAAAGTGTGTTCGTTTATTTTTTGTGCATTATATTTTGTGCCAGGCATTGGCCTATAGCAGTTGATGTGTCGGTGAGGCCCGGCTGTGTGTATCTCTCAGTACCCCATGGTGCTGGTGTTCTGAATGTGTTGGTGAGGCCCGGTTGGCCCAGCTGTGTGTGTATCTCTCAGTACCCCATGGTGCTGGTGTTCTGAATGTGTCGGTGAGGCCCGGCTGGACACGGCTGTGTGTATCTCTCAGTACCTCATGGTGCTGGTCTTCTGAATGTGTCTGTGAGGCCCAGCTGTGTGTATCTCTCAGTACCCCATGGTGCTGGTGTTCTGAATGTGTGTGTATCTCTCAGTACCCCATGGTGCTGGTGTTCTGAATGTGTATGTATCTCTCAGTACCCCATGGTGCTGGTGTTCTGAATGTGTGTGTATCTCTCAGTACCTCATGGTGCTGGTGTTCTGAATGTGTTTGTATCTCTCAGTACCTCATGGTGCTGGTGTTTTGATTCTCAGCTGGGACCAACGTGACGGACGAAGAGCTGGACCAGATGCTGGAGAGTGGACAGACGGATGTCTTCACACAAAATGTTAGTGCTGTTGGAGAAATTTTTCCATCTCCCCATTAAAAGATAGTCAGGAGTCCATCTCAAAAGTTTTTTAAAAATCATGCACATGGAAGTGAAACACACAGAGATGCTTTGTGTGTTTTTCTCAAATTGATTTAATTAGAACAGTCCTTAAATATTTTTCTATTATCTATCACACTTCCCTGTGCTGATTCTAATACAATTGGTTAATTAGTTTTGTAGCCCAAATTTAATTAGTTCCCATATAATACAGTATAGAATTACTTAAGAATGTATTAATGTACTGGAGTGTCCAGTCAGTCAGTGTGTCTGTATGAACCCCTCTCTCTCAGTGCAGTGTTAATGTACTGGAGTGTCCAGTCAGTCAGTGTGTCTGTATGAACCCCTCTCTCTCAGTGCAGTGTTAATGTACTGGAGTGTCCAGTCAGTGTCACGAGAATATAGGATTATCCTATGTTTCTGGATAATCATTGGGCACCCTTCCCCACCTCTCTCTCAGATCCTAAGGGACACACATGCCACCAAGCAGGCCCTGAACGAGATCGAGACTAGGCACGAGGAGATCCTGAAGCTGGAGAGGAGTATACGAGACCTACACGAGATGTTCCAGTACCTGGCCATGGAGGTGGAGGCCCAGGTGAGCCAGCCCACCTTTCTCACACCAATCCCAGTGGTTAATTTTGTGAAAAACAGACAAGAAGGTTTCCAAAAGCCATCCAGTTTTCCCCCCTGTGTGTAAAGTAGAGCCTCCTGTCCTTACTGGAGGATCTCATCCAGCTGTTTCTTGAGAGAGGTCAGGGTATCGGCTTCAACAACATGGCTGGGCAGCTTGTTCCACACTCCAGCCACCCTTTGTGTAAAGACGAGCTCCTGCTCCCAGTCCCCATTAGCGCCTTCCTGGGTGTTGCGGCCTGTGCGTCACCACTGCCCTCAGCCTCTCCCGGGCCGTTCTCCGCCCGTGCTCGTCCGCCCCCGGAGTCGGCACGCGCCAGCTGGGCCCTTGTCCTCTTGTCTCGGCAGGGCGAGATGGTGAACCGCATCGAGAGCAACATCCTGCAGTCGTCCAACTACGTGGAGAAAGCCACGGCTGACACGGAGAAGGCCAAGGAGTACCACGTGAAATCCCAGAAGGTGAGGGGGAGGAGGCTTCAGGGCTGGGGTGGCGAGCGAGCCCTTTAACAACCATCGCGTCCGGTTTTGCAAAGCCCGTCTCTGCAGCTGGGGGTAATGGGGCATCCTTTCTGTTAGTAGAGGGAGGTGTGAAGAGCAAGACTATGCCCTTTTT